AATTGGTCCATTGGCATGGTTTTTATTCTCCATTCCTTTTCCTTCAAGCAATTCACTTCAAGCTCTGGAAAAAAAAATTCACCATCTTCTCATAATGCATTAATTTGGGTCCATTTGCTAGCGTTTTGAATTCTGTACTTCTTAGTTCTTATAAAAGAGACTGATATATACTTGAGATTTGATTGAGCAGGTGAAAATGAGGAGCATTCCATTTTGCATCTGATTTTGGGACCAGTGCTTTTCCTTTAGGAATTATATTTGAGATGTGGTTGTTGAAAATGGGCATTGGATAAATGATAAGTTTGTGTAAATCTTGAGTTGTGGTTGAGGAGAGATGGTGATAATGGTGATTGGGATTTTGACCATGAAACAGAGTGGTAGAAATGAGTAATTATTAGATTTAAGATCTCAGTATCCAAAGATGAAGATGGTGTTACTTTTGGTGGCTCTTTTAATAATCATTTTGGCTTTGGGTCCATAATTAAGACTTTTTATTTCCCTTTTTTTGGGGATACAATCTGGATGCCATTACATATATATATGTCCACACCATATAGTCRGTGAAAGGGGATCTCATTTTTTGGCCCCTTCAAATACTCAGCTCATCAAATTAATTAATGATTTCTTTATAATTTGACTATATATATATATACGTATAATTTCACTTAGATATCATAGAAATTAGAAGGAAAAAAATCAAACCTAAATAGCTAATGGAATTGATATCCTATCTGAGGCTTCTTTTTAGTTTAATAATTGTAGGGTTGGGGATCGAATCACCGATTTTTTGAATGGTAATAAATGTCTTATGTATTGAGCCGTGCTTTGATTGACGTCTTTTATGACTTGATATGACTAAGCGAGACTATTTTTGTAGGTGTCCATTCTTTAGATTGTGTTCAGATTTTTGTAGTTTGTAAGGACATTTTGGTATTAGATTTTGATTATGTTTTACGTGGCTTGATTTTAGTCCACTTATTATATGCTTTTTAACAATTCTCTAGCTGGATTAGGAGGATTAGGAGAGATATATTAATTTTACTTATTATAAAGTTTATAATTTAATTTGATAAAATGAGAACTTTAAAGTTAAAATTAACCCACTGACTAAGAATTAAAGGTAAAAACTGTATTTTTTTTCAAGAAAAAATAAACAATGATTGGAACAAACTAAAGTTGTCATAAAACCAACTTGAGATTTTTTATGTAGAAATTCCATGTATGTGAAGGAAACATCATGCAATTAATTATAATAAGTTGAAAAGAGAGTTTTGAATTTGATGTCAATTGTCATACCATATTTGCTAAAAAGGAAAAAAGGAAAGAAAAGCTAATATTGATTAGTCACTATTAAAAATGTCACAAGAGAAAGCGATTCTTTTGATACTATAAAAGCCACCGTTTTTGAGAGGAGAGAATAAATGGATAGCTCATTTGGCAACGTTTCTCTCTCTTGTTTTTTTTTTGTTTTTTCTTTTTTAATAAATGAATACTATTTTGATTTATGTATTTTTAGCTTTGGTTCATTTGGTTCATATCATATACTCTCAAAATATTCATTTTAATCTTGGTACTTTCTAAATTGGCTCATACTAGTTGTTGTTTGTTTTGGTTGTTATGCTTTTAAAAAGGGACTAAATAGTCCATATTTTCAAAATTTTAATACAAAATTTTATGCATTATAGAAACCCTTTAATATAAAATTATTGTTATACTTCAATAAACATATTGAATGTAGTAGTGTATTGAAATTGTGATCGAAAAATGAGATTAAAAATAAAATTAAGCAATCAAAATATTCACTTTTTGAAATTATGAGGACTAAAATGAATTAAAGTTGAAAGACTCTTGATTAAGAAATTGTCACTAGGGTTMAATAAGAGGTGCACGGGCTAAGACTCGCAAAACATGATAGAATGTTGAACATCAAATTTCACCAAAACATGAGCAACCTTATCACGAATGTGTTATGGGTAGACGAGTGATATCAATCTATCAATTTGTTTCATCTCCAAAAGTTGTAATTTTACCTCTAATGAGTTGGATGGCATTGAGGTTGTTAGATTCAACATGAAGATGGGTGCGTTTGATGTTGCAGGTAAATTAGAGACCTTTAAAAATTATGCAAAAATGAKAAATAGAATAATTACTAATTACTTTGTATTTTCAAGAAAAACAAAACGAGAAACAATAAATCATAARATAAAACTATCATGGTCCATAAAACCCGAAAAATATCTTATACAACCCAAGAAAAAGAAAACATAATGAATATGGAAAAGACATTAGTATAAAATTTTTGGGGACTACAAGGTTTTGCAACAAACAAACAAACAAAACCATCACAGTCCATTAGATTTTCAACACGTTGCAGCAGCAGCAGCAGTTTCTGGCAAATTCTTTGGGAGTTTTTTCGAGTCTTTTAATGCCAAAACAAAGGGAAAAAAAGGGAGTGGAGGAGGAAAAAGAAGATAACTGAGAAGGGAAATATTGTCGTGGATTGCACGCCAATGACCAATTTGAGGTCTTATCAGTGATGTGATTTTTACACACAATCCAAATGATTGGTGACGATCCCTAAATCCAAACACTCACCATTTTTTTTTTTCCTCTTTCTCTAAAATTAAAATACAAAAAAATGAGAAATTAAAGAACGAAGGGGGAGTTTTCAAATGATGAAAGTGATTCCTTTGGAGTGCACGTCTATAAATTTTACTCTTAAAGTTAGTGGTTCGTTTAATGATTAGGTAATTTGAATTTCATTCAAGCTTCTCACATTATTTTCTTTATCAAAAATATATGGAATAATGCTGGTTAAAGTATTAAAAGATTTTATTCAATATTTTGGGTAAATTAGTTGTACTTTAAGTTCTATAAAAAGGTTTTTTTGTATTCACTTCAAAATCAAATGACTCTATCTACTTCTTTGTACTTTAATTGTATTATAGTATCATAGCTCATCCACATATGTCCATAAATTCATTATAGGCGATAGGGAAGGCACGAACCAGAAAGGGAGTCGGTGCTCGATGACCCAAGCCAGCCCCCGACCGACTACATAAAAATTCTAGAGAAGGAGAAACAAGAAATCATTTCTATATTAATGAAATTCAATTTTTTATAAGAAATTTAATTTTTTTACTTAAATATTCAAGTTTTTATGTTATATTTATTTAATGTCAAGAATGATAAAAATGTACTACATGTAAAGATGGAGAATGGTTTATAAGGCATACCTTTTCAGGGATTTGTAAAATATGTTTAGAGTTAACCAAGACATCTCTCCACATGCATGTCACGCTGTCGCTACTTGGATGGGCGGGCTTGGATAACTCGCACTTGCGCAGAAATAAGAAATACATTTTTATTATTTGTTGTTTATATTTTTTTGGACAAATAAGTCTTTTAATTATTAAAATTAATTATGTTAAAACATTTCTAAATTAATTTTCTTGGTGGGACACAGATTTTCTTTCGATATACGATTTATCACGAGGTTGTGTCGAAAATGCTTTCAAGATAATGATTCTTCTACAGCTTTACAATAGTATTTTCTCAAAATACTCTTTCTGACTTACAGCAAATTGCAAATAATAATGTTAACCAATTAAATAATAATTCTACGTACCCATCTAACTTATAACTAATTCAACAAATACAATCAAAAATAAGGAAAAAGACATTGAAAACATGAACTAAGAGTGCTCTGAGCCTAACTTAATTCATATATCCAACATGAACTAAGAGAAGAAAAAAAAAAGGAGGGAGGCAATTCTTTTTCCCTAACTATTTTAGATTTCGAATGATTATATAAAATTAAGATTAAAAATTTTATTCTCTTATTTTTTTTATAGATCTCATTTCTCATTGAACACTTTTGAAGGTGGTTATGAATTAAATGCCGAAGGTAGAAATTGGATGGACTCATTTTAAGGCAAATTTGTAGTTACAAGAATAATTTGATTATAGCTTTTGCTTCAATTTTGATTATTATTGGGTATAATAATAATAATTATTATTATTATTAAATCAATTAGTTGGTGAAGAGCTCCAAATTAAAAGTTGACGAATTTGAAGGCCACAGATAATCTAACTCTGGTATGTTCAAAATAATAATAATAATAATAATAATGTAACTCTACCAAATATTATATATATTTAGAGTGAATCCTCATCCTCCTACATCTGGATTCATATAATTAAAAAGGCGAAAAGAAAATTGCATGCTTTTTCATCATGACTTTCTCCACCACCCATATCCCACTCCTTCAAATTACACACTATCTCCAAATAAATTCATTCTTTTATTATTCGCAAAAAAAAAAAATTAAAAAAATAATAATAATCCTAGTTTGTATGTGAAGAGCGAGAGAAGTGAAAATGAAAATGGCTTATCCTTTTGGATTCCTTTATTTACGTTTGTTTTCATTTAGGAGGATGGCAAATAGAGGCTTTACAGTTGCGTGACATCAAGAAAACTTGTTTACAAAAGTTAAGTCTTATTCTTTTTTTTTTATTATTATTATTATTTCCATACCTGGACATAGGTAAGGAGTCATGGTCCTAAATACTTAAAATAGTCAACCGATATTATCTCTTATCTAAATTGGGAACTAATTTTCAGGATCTACAAATAAAAATCAAATATTATTTTTACAATTTATGTCTTTTACTGACTTGCTAAACTGCACAGATTGCAGTGAGATGGGTTTACGAGCAGAAGGTGAGTGAGCTGGTGAAGAGTTCAAACAGGGAGAGGATGGAAGAAAACATTGGGATTTTTCCCTACCATTTTTGGTCCTCGTCATCTGGTTCTTCAACTTGATTCACAACTCTGATTCTGCCACCATCAAATTACTAAAAATAAACACTTCTATCTGTACCTATAATATGTTTTTGATAAAATAAGGTGTATGGCATTGTCGTTCAATTCTTCTAAATCCAATAACAAAATGAAACATGAGTATTAGTCGACTTATGTAGACTACATAGGATATAACTTTGATGGAGCTATGGAACTTCTTTATTACAATAAAGAATAACAAATAGATTTTGTTTCTGAGGAAAATTTTTGTATATTTGGGGCATAAGCTGCTTCTCTACATGAATAAATAATATCGAGATTAACAGAGCTGATATCCTTCCGTCCACAAAATTGAAAACGAGGAACAAAGACGACCAAAATCTGTCAAAAAGCTTTGGAATCTGAAAAGATCCCAGAATGAAGATGCTAAACGTTCAGTAAGTTGTACCTAACTACAAGCCAACACAAGAGCGGAGCCTCTTACTAAAACAGAGGGATGAAAGTGAACCAACGTGTTTCCTTCCTCCCTCCCAAGCAAAAACAAGGGACCAAATCTGCTACTCGCACTTGATCGACCGGTAGATGTGGCGAACAAAGAACAGGGCTGCACGAAAGCCTACGGTTCCGAGCATCAGAAAAAATCCATAGCAGATGCAAGCCATGTACCCAAAAAAGAAAGAGGTTTGCATGAAACCAGACATATCCGAGCGAGCATAGTAATAGTACAGGCAGTAACCGTAGATGAACAGGCCAGTCGACCCACCACATAGAAAAGACCTGAAACCATATCAAGAATACAATTCAGGCAAAAGAATTAATCTGTCCAAGTATATAATATGAGGGAAGAAAATGATCAAAGATGGAAATTCCAAAAAGGAAACAATGTATGAATCATTCTTACAAGACAACAAGTGTCCAAGTGATGCATTCCAATAAAATGTGCAATTGAGAAATAAGAAAATTTTTGTACCTCCACCACCATTCATGATCTTCAGCGGTTAGTTGAAAGTAGGTCAAAGCCACGGTAATGAAAGCAGTCACTATGAGAAGGATGATGAAGACAATGAAAAGAATGCTGTAAATTGTGTATATCTTGTGACCCCAGACACTAGCAAATATGTAGTAAAGCTCAATATATATAGCACTGAAGGGAAGGAACCCTGCCATTGCCATCTGAGGAACAGTACTCCTATACCAAGGTAACTGTGGAATCTCTCGAGGATACTTTGTTGTGCGGCATGGAGCTTGGAATTCGATCCTACTATTTTTTCCTGCTATACCACCCAAAACAAGCAATGGTGATGTTACCAATGTCCATATGAGAACTATCACCACAATTGTGCCGAAGGGAAGTGCAGCGGTTGCTTTGTAAACAATAGCCACAGTGTTCAGAAAGCAGAATGTGAAAAACAGAGGCCCACAGAAAAGGCAACCCGTCAGCAACAGATTCCTCACCTTTTAAACAGAGGGGGAAACAAAGGGTATCAGATCATTCAATCACATTTTAGTTTTAAGAAGTTAAGCTACATAATATAAAAATATAATCATTCTCCAGATACCCAGTTGCTTCCTTCAAGTTGGCAATAGAATGAGGATGCTGTATATCCTGCAATCCCAGACGTGAGTGCGTATATGACCACCAGAGCGGTAAACAGAGCTCCTCGGTTGTATGGATAAAACACACCAACCAGAGCCAACATAAATATAAAAACTGTGCTGAAAAATGAAAATAATAGTAGAAGATATGAGCTGAGACTCAAAAAGTAACAGGAAGTTTAGACAAATTAGGATAAACTGCTTACAGGGTAAACAACTGGGTGCCAGAACCAAGGGCTGCAGCAAACAATGATTTGTATTTTGGAAATCGAAAGACATCGCCATGGATGTATTTCCAACCAGTCTCTTCTTGATCATCAGCCGCTTCCTCATCTTGTGCATACCTGGAGAATAGTTTAGCACTGCGTTCATAAAAGTTCCAAAAAAATTTGGGAGATATTTATTCAATAGATAAACTTCTGAATCTTACTTCATAAAATCATTCTTCAAGACGCGCATCAGAATAGTGGCAAGAAAACCAGTCAAAAGAAGAACTGTTACACATGAGTTAATAATTGAAAACCAATGAATTTCCAAGTGATGTGGTAACGAAGAGGACTGCGAGTACTTATCCATCCTTTTCTCAAAGGGAGTGTCCGTTTCCCTCCACTTTACAGTATACATGAACTCAACATCAACATCCTTGTCCTCTGTCAGATCCACCACAGAATGAGGATCCATTCTAGCACTAATTTCAATCACACGATCATTATTGTAGGAAATATCAAATTGGATGTGCTTGAACAGAAAGTATTTGTATTCACTCGGATCATCTCTGCCTTCTCTATCAACCTTTCCAATAAAACCCCATATAGGCAAGTCATCATAATACATCTGAAAGTAATAATCTTTCTTCACTGCAGCTCGAAACTGAGCAACTGCTTCCTTGGATAACTTGCTTTTACAAGCAACTTCTGTGTCTTTCTCCCTTCTAAAATCAAGCTTGTAAGGAGCACTGACAAGACGGTCTCCATTCAACACCTCACCAAGAGCTTCCTTTTTCTCTTTTACATCACCTGCCGTAGTCACATGACAGTTATGAACTGAAACTATACAAATTTTCAAAAGGACATCATTCAAGCATACAGTAATTATTTCTTTCGTCCACAATTACAATATGTATAGGATACATATACTATTTGAGCTGAGAGATAAAAGAAGCAATTCACTTCTAATGACAACCTTTTTCAATCCAAGTTATCTGATTAATCTTTGTAAATTAATATAATGATTTCTAAATTGGGAACAAAGACAATGGGCAAACCAAATACTTAAAATCATCTCTATGAAGCAAGGTTTCTTCGTTCTTCACCTTGAAAATGATATGATAGAGGGGAAGCAAAAAATAAAATAATAGAAAGCGAAGAGAAAATCATCTGATTGGTCAATCATTAGGCAGATGGTGGAATTTGCACAGTTTTTACGCATCTCCCCACCATAGCAACTTTAGAGGTAAAACAAGAAACAGCCGAAATTAAATGTATCTAGAACCAAGTCATCTCCACGCACACAGGTGCCATTCAAGTACATAAAGGCATGTCCATGTGTTCGCATTGGATCAAGATTCCAGCATCTAAACACACAAGGAAAGGAAAAAACCTGGTGAGCAGAAAGGCAGATCAAAGTACCGGTAGGTTTCGCTGGAACGAGACAGAAAAAACAAGAAGATCATCAGCAAATTAACATCTCAAACACAAATTACGCGCCAAAATTTTCATCCAAAGATTCAACAGAATAAAATAACCATATCTACACCTCCGCATTTATTACATCAACCACCATACCACACGATGTATCCTCCTGCGACTCGTAACACTCAAACCGAATCCTTAACCGCCATTGGCCACATTTCATTTCCCAAATCCGAAATCACACACAAATAACCTCTATTATTCCAATTGAATATCGCATCCTCAAGTTTCAGGTGGCAATAATTTCCTCCAAATCATGTCAATTCAATAAAACGAAACAGAGGAAGGCACACATACAGGTGATTGTAAATCTAAGAAAAGCACGCGAATGCAGGGACAGAGGAACAACAAATGTTGGAGAATTCAACAATTAGATTTCCGTAGATAGAATTATGGATCCAGAATTACCTGGGATTGTGAAATGGGCCGACCTTATTGGCGTAAAGAGGGACGAAATCACCTTCGCTGTAGCGGTGATTGGAGGCATCTGGTGTCACCGGAGTGGCACAGATAGCGATCCAGAAAACGAAGAAGATCAGAGAGTTCTTCATACTCCGGCGAGAAAGAGGGAGAAATGGGAGTGGGAAAGAGAAGCCGAGAGTGAATTATAATAAATAAATAAGATAAAAAGGAATAGAATGGAATGGGTATGTTATGTTCACCACCGTCTGTTTGGAGAGAGTGAGAGAGATTCTGTGTGATGGGGACCCACCATAGGGGTCGTGTGCGACCAAATCTCAACGGTATCCAGCCACGTAGGACGCCCATGTGGCACTTTTTTATGTCTAGTTTGAATCACTTTTGTCGGTCAGGTTCCAATTTGGATTTTTTTTTTTTTTTTGTGTTTCCATTAAGGGCGAGGACAAAAAAAGAATGAAATCTTGAAATTAATTTTTTTTTAGTTCATCAAACCCCAAACTGTGATTTATTTTTTAAATTGATGCAGACAAAATTGTGAGTTTCTGATTTAGACTGAACTGCCTCTCGGATTATAGGATTAAATAATAGAAACCTTGGTCAGGTATTTCTATCAAGTAAGATGATTATTTATTATTATTATTTTTTTTTATTCGTTGACTTGTCGTATTAGGTTACACGCACCGCAATTAATCTAATTGAATAACCGTTTTATCATATATTACATTTGATTTTTAAGAAAATTCATAAAATATTAAATCTTAGGTAGATGGCTACCATGTCTAAATTCATTCTCCCTAATTTTTTTAAAATTCAAAATGTTGTTGTTAGTTTTTTAAAACATAAACAAATATATATATATATATATATATATATAATAAAAATAATTTTGATCTTTTTTTAAGTTCATGTAAAAATTTTAATTTTTTTATTTAAAAGAGAATTAATAAAAAAGTTACCAAATAATTATCAATTTTAAGATGAGCATAACCCAATTTGTTATTATTGTTGGATTTTGGCAACATATTGGAATAGAAGTTGTCGTGGAAGAGTACAATGATGATCTCCAAGTGCTAGAAATTATCTCACATTAGAAAAGTACAAGGAGGATGTGTGTTCCAACTACTCTAAAAGGAGCAAACGGCTTGGGTTTAATCCTCCCAATTGAAATACTTTAAGCATGGTATATCATCTCTCGTTAACTGAACGGTATTTGCTTTAAAAGAGTGTTCTGTGTAATCGAGGTCGGGGAGAAGAATTTGTGTGATTGTAAATTTTTCACATAGTGGATTTTCCCTTGTGGGCCGTGGTTTTTCTCCGATTTAAAGTTTTTCCACGTTAATTCTTGTGTTTCTTTATTTTATTGCTTTCTTTAAATTTCTCAGTTATTTTCTGCTTATTCCTGCAGTAGAAGTAGGAGATTTTTTTCCCATCAAGTGGTATCAAAGCTTTAGGTTTGTAGTTTCTAAAATTTATGAGTATGCTTTGTGGATGCAGCATTATCTGAACTTTCACATTAGAAAAGATTTCTTGAAATGAGCTACGGTTCTGTGAATAGTGTAGGTTGTTCACTATTTACAGATTCGCTAGGAGTGTGAAGTAGATATGTCATTCTTTATGAGTCCAGTAAACATTGACATGGAGAAATTTGACAAAATGATCAACTTCAGCTTGTGGCAAATGCAAGTCAAGGATATGATGATACAATCTAGGTTACACAAGGCATTAAAGGGAAGACCGAGTGAAGATGCTTCTGAAAATTTAAGGGGTAATGGTGGTCCAGTGGAGGTTCCAATAGAGGTTCTAAGAAGTTCAATGAGTGATGAAGATTGGGAGGAAATGGATTTGAGGGCTGCAAGCGCGATACGAACAAGTTTGGCTAAGAATATTCTTGTGAATGTGCATGAAATTTCAACAACCAAAAAACTTTGAGATAAGCTCGAAGTGTTGTATTAAGCAAATGACATCTCAAATCAGTTGTACCTGAAGGAGCAGTTTCACACGCTGTGGATTGAGAAATGTACGAAAATTTCACATCATTTTAGTAATCTCAATAGCATCACCTTTAAGCTGGAGGCGATTGAAGTGAAGATAGATGACGAAGATATGACACTCATGCTTATCTTGTCGCTTCCACCTTCTTAGGAACACATGAAGTCGATCTTAATATATGTGAAGGATACTTTGAACTTTGTCGAGGCTACTAGTAAACTGTTGTTAGAAGAAAGAAAGCTAAAGAGTGAAGGGTCATATCTTCACATGAAGAATCAGCACTGGTGGCTAGCAATTGGAAGAAGAAGAAATACTTCGTGCAAAAGAAAGCTTGTTGTTGGGGATGCGAACAATCTGGGCACATAGAGAAAAAATGTCCTAATAAAGCCGGTTCGTCAAAGGGCTCTAGTCGGATGTTGACAGTGTTTCTCTCTTCAGGGGAGACGATGATCAGTTCCTCTGAAGAGAGAAAGAATTCATCCTCATGGTATGCCGACTTTACCATGATAGAGGATATGATGTTAGCGATTCCACAGATTTACACATGGACATTGGCTTGACGGTTATGCAAGATGTGTGTGATACAAGATATGTCGATGACTGAAAAATTTCCAAGTGAGGCAAGTAAGTGGAAATTGCACCATAAATCGCAGCAAGATTTATCAACATGTGACGAGGAAGAAAAATCTTGGAAGGCGACATTTCAAGTGATCTACCTTTATGATGGAGTAGGTTATAGTTCTCTGAATTGAGAATTATGATTGTCGGTGAAAACAATACGTGCAATAGAAGCTGTGGATTTTTTCAATATCTTGCCAACGTGGAATTTGTTAGGTTTTGGCAAAATACTGGAATGGAAGTTGTCTCACATTGGAAGAGTACAATATTGATGGTCTCCAAAATGCTAAAAGTTGTCCCACATCGAAAAATAGAATAGAATGAGGGGGTGTGTTCCAACTACTATAAAATGAACTCATTGGCTTGGATTTTAATCCTCTCAATTGAAATAGTTTAAGTCTGGTATAYCAGCTCTAGTTAACTAAGATGTATTTGATTTGAGAGAGTGTTTTGTGTAATTGGGGCCGTGGTTTTTTCTCCGGTTTGGATTTTTTCTACATTAATTCTTGTGCTTTTTTTATTTTATTGCTTTCTTTAAATTTCTCAGTTATTTTCTACTTATTCCTACGATAGAATTAGTGGATTTTTTTTCACATCAACTATACATATTTTATCAACAAGAAAAAGTTAGAGGTTTGTATCTCATCTCTATCTTCTATATATCGTTGAAATGGAGAAATAAAATAATTATTAATTTATCACTCTGTCCTATTCAAAATTACTATTTTCAATTCCATTTAGTGGCATCCGATAATTTTAAATATAGTAAAATTTTCAATTCCATTTAGTGGCATCCGATAATTTTAAATATAGTAAAGAAATTTGAAGGCATTGAACAAATATTTTAAACAGGTTGGGTTGCCTGTAAATATAGCAAAAAATTAATAGTTAATTGCAAAAAAATACGAATGCAAAATTAAAATAATGAAAATCTAATTTTAAAATCTTTGTCATATTTGTAAAATTAAAAAATAAATTATTCTACTAATATTAACATTACTCAATTAGTTAAAGTACTTGTTTTTAAACTGTCTTAATTGTTGATCTATCATTACGTTGACGGACTATTTAATAGATTTGGACTATGAAATATTTTTATAAAAAAAAAGGAAAAAAATCGAATATCATTACCTTTTTGTCCTATGAAATATTTGAGGCATTACCTTTTTTTCTCTTTATTATATATATATAATTAGCTATGTTAAGTATTTCGTCCGAAAAACTCAAATTTTAGTTTTATTTTTTGGGAAATGGATTAAGTGCACGACTAACTTTACAACATAATAAGCCAAAACGAGTATAATTTAACGGTAATTGGCATATATTTCCAACCAATATTTTGTGATTTCGATCTCACACCACCCGTACTAAAAAAAATTTATAACATTATACAAAATATGAATATTTATTAATATAAAATATGACTAACTTAACACAATAAGAATATTATTAAAATATTTYTTTTGTGAAAAATGAAATATTTCAAAATATAATTGTTAAAATAAAGTAAATGTGATGGTCAAACAGCCTACTGTTGCTACCAACTATGCTCTTTGTTGTAAATATTTGAGGAAAAAAAGTCAATTGTTATTTATTACCCATAAACTGTGTATCAATTTCCAACTTAAATTTTCTAATTCATTAAACCAGACTCCAAGAACTTGCTAATTTAAATAAAAATCAAAAGTGGCACAAAATAAATTACTGAGTAATCGTGTAAAATTCATAAATTTCAGGAAAATAAATTCTATTGTCATTTTTGTYCGAAATCCTGTCGATTTTGTAGAGATTATTTTGTAATAATATTTTATTTTAAATTTATTCCAAATATATATTATCACCCAACTATTTCCAATAATAATGCTGGTAAATTGTAAGTTGTCTTTATGTCAATTCACGCTTTCCCAGTTACTTGGCGCCTTACCGACACTATGTGTTTTTCTCTCTTTTGTTTTTTAATTCTAGCATGTTTCTTTTCGAGAGACGACGTATGTCAAATTTGTACATATTTAATATTTTTCTACGGTGGTTGTATATCTACTTTTTAATCGTTTTATTCAATAGATCGTTATATTGCAAATTATTTTCTCTTTTAAACCAATTTAAATAAATGTTACCTATTAAAATTTATCTTCTCTTCTAAAATAAAATAACAACTCATTCTAAAGAAATAAAATAATAAYTATTAAAACACATATTATTAAGAAAATGTAATTAGATGTTTTTATTTTCAAACTATAATTACAACATTAATATAATTTATTTCATTTATTCAATTGATAAAATAAAATATTTCATTTTTTTTAGGATTAACAGTTGTTTTAATAATATATATTTTTAATAGTAATCATTTTTTTAAAGAATGAGTAGTTGTTTTATTCTAGAAAATAAAATTTCAATAATTAACCTTTATTTAAATTTGTTTAAAGGAGAAATAGTTGTAATATAATATATTTTATTTATTTTTTAGTATGAGT